GGGAGGGGACAGCAGCATGGCACACAGGAGAGGGGACAGCAGAGTGACACTACCAGAGCTCTGAGAGGGGACAGCAGGGTGGCACACGAGGGAGGGGACAGCAGCATGGCACACAGGAGAGGGGACAGCAGAGTGACACTACCAGAGCTCTGGGCACTGGGTCCCTGCATTYGTGTCTGTCCAAGCTGCTGGGGCTGCACTGCCTGGGAAGGGACCAGAGCTCAGAGCCACCAGCAGCCAGGATGTGATGTCCCATCGGCACCACAGCCACAGGCTGACCTCACTGAGCCACAGTGGGGTGCACCTGGGGACCCTAAGGCTGTGACACAGGGCAGACCCCCCCTCCAACAGCCCTGGTTTGCAGCCCACTGCTTTTCCCAGAACTGAAATCCAGTGGGGAAAACGCAGCTGAGCCTGGCCACCTCTGCTCTCCTTCCAGCTGCTTTGCACCGAAAACTGAAGGCAAAAGATGTGCTTTGGGGTTGGGATTTTTTTCAAGGTATTTTTCTTCATCTCTGCAGCCTTAGAGGACAAGGAACTGAGCTGAACTCAGCCTGCAGCCCACTCTCTGACCTCTGGTTGGGCTTGTGAAACCCTTTTGAACCGGGACCTTGGCAGAGGGGTCAAAGAGTTTTCACAAAGCCCCATCACAGGGACACTGAGGAATGACCCTGCATGGCAGCAATGCTCAATTCCCAGCTCCAGGACAGGACAGGTCCCCTCCCTGCTCCTGCCCTCATCTCCACCTGTCAGACTGAGATTGGAAAAATTTCAACTCAAGGACTCACAGCTTGGGCAGGATGGGAATAATGGAGCTAAACCCATCCCCAGGATGGGAATAATGGAGCTAAACCCATCCCCAGGATGGGAATAACGGAGCTAAATCCATCCCTAAGATGGGAATAACGGAGGTAAACCTACTCCCAGGATGGGAATAATGGAATAACGGAACTCAACCCATCCCCAGGGAAGCACAGCAGGGTGAGGGCTGGCCGCCGCCTCCAGCCCCAGCCCAGCACCCCTTCCCCGAGGTGCTGCTCCTCCCACATCTTCAGGGAGGGCCAGAGCTCGAGTTGTTTACGCTGCCCAAATTCCCAGCCTGTAAACAAGCCAGCCCAGCGCCTGCCAAAGGCAGAACAATGTTTCCAGGCGCCCTGCAGAGCCGGCCTTGTACCACACACAGTGCTGCCAAGGCATCCTGAGCATCCCTGCCCGTCTGCACAGCACACACAGGGGCTGGGGCAGCACAGCCTGCTCCTGGAGGGATGGAATCTGCTCCTGGAGGGACGGGAATCTGCTCCTGGAGGGACGGGAATGTGCTCCTGGAGAGATGGGAAACTGCTCCTGGAGGGGTGGAATCTGCTCTTGGAGAGATGGGARYCTGCTCCTGGAGAGATGGGAATGTGCTCTTGTTGGGATGGGAATCTGCTCCTGGAGAGATGGGAGCCTCATCCAGCAGGGAAAGGGGGCTCAGCTCAGGCAATCTTACCTGCAGGCTCCCAGGATGGGAGGAAGGGTGGGARTGTGCTCCTGGAGGGATGGGAGCCTGCTGTGCAGGACGGGACTTGGGATTGCTGYTTTGTCAGAAGCAGAGAGCTGSGGTTGTAAAAACCTCCAGGAACTGGGTCTGCACTGACCAGGCTTGCTGTCATCGCCCAGCCCGGGGAACCTTCCCCACAGAGGGAATGAAAATATCAAAATGGGAAAGGCAGACCATCTGCAGAGCTTGCTGGGAAGGTAGAACACACTGATAACCTTAACAGAATTAGGAACCAATGGATCAGGCCTGTCCATAACCCCGGGCACACCCCCAGGACATCCCACAGGCACCACCTGGAGCCTTACACAGCTCCTCCCAGGAGGATGAGGGGTGCTGAGGCCCCATGATCCTGCCACTGGCCATGGCCTGGGCTGGCCTTTACTCTCCTCTTCCCCTGCAGGTTCTCTGGGAGACTCTGGCAGGGAGAGCCCAGCCCCAGGGAGCACAGCCCAGCTCACACACGGGYTCCACAGCACCAGGCTAGACACTACAAGCTGGAAATCAGCAGGAAAAGTTCACTTCTTTTCCCTTTTCCCCCTTGCCCAGTATCCCACAGTGCCTGYCCAGCTCTGCAGAACACCCAGCATTTTGCTGGTCAGTGGCTGTGCCATCCCTGGCTTTGGGGGCCCAGACCCCACAGCTGAAGCTGCAGCCAGGGGCCTCCAGCTGGGATAAATCCCCTTCATCCCATCCATCCTGCAGCCCAGGAGAGCTGATGAACAGGGGCTTGTGGGCAGCAGGATTTGGGCACACAACCCTCCAGCCCTCCCTCCTTGCATGTGCACACCCTCTGGGATGCTCTGATCTGCTGTGCCACCCTGCAGGTCCCCAAAGGAGTCACCCAAGACAAATGGCTGAGCTATGCAAACCCCTCCTGCTGGTCTTTATTCCCACCAGGAAATCACTGGTTTTGGCATTTTTTCCCTGGTACTTGTAGCAGGGCTGCCTGAATACAAAAAATCTCACAAACAGGAATTTTACCCAAATCGCTGGAATACCAGAAAGGATGAGGGTTCTGGAATACCAGAACTGGGCAGCCCCTTGAGCCCTTCAGGTGGCCTCTGACTGCTCACACCAGGGCAGGCTCCCAGGAGAGCTGTCAGGGGAGCTCTTGTGAGCCATGACTGCCCTCAAGGCGCTCCCCTCTGGGATGTGCCTATGGATAATGCACYCCGAGATGCAGAAGGATGCAGAGAACCATGGCCCACACCCCAYGGCCAGCTTTAACCCCAGCTGAGCTGAGCCAGCTCCTCAGGAGCAGGGTTTGCTGCCTGCCAAGGCACAGAGCCCAGGGCTGATCCCAAAGAGCCTCCCACGGGGACAAACATCACACCAGGACACTGGGGGCCACTCACCCACGACCATGATGTTGAACTCGAAGCCCTGCTTCATGGCTTTCCTCCTCAGCTGCTCMAGGATGGCATCGATGCCCACGTAGCCAAAATCCGCCGCTGGCTTGTCCGGCCGTGCCGGTGCCGCCTGCTTGGGGCCGGCGTCCCGCGGGGCGTCCGTCATGGTGGGAGCGTGGCTGGGGACAGCCTCTGGGCCTGCGGGGACAAACACAGCCCTGTCACACCTGCTGCTCCTGCCTGGGGTCACGGGAGCTGCCCGCTGCATCCAAAGTGGTGATAAGCACGKGCAGAGACTCGGGGTACAGCAGASTGGGAGGGAGGAGGYGTGTGGGATCTTGTGGGATCTTCCTCCACAATAATTGCATTGAATTTGGGGTTTCCTTTTGGGGTTTCTCCTTCTCCAGGTTCACCTGGATCCCTGCCCACTCCACCAATCCTGAAGGATGCTGTTGTGTGGGGTGTGAGCACACCAGGCCCCACAGCAGCTGATCTGCTGAGCAGGAGCAGGACCCAGCACCCAGAAAATCCTCAGCCCAGCTCTGGGGTTTGTTTAGCGAATCAAACCCAAAAAGCAGCCCCACATTCCTGTGCCCAGGCACTGCTGTTAAATGCTGGCAGACTCATCCCACTCCTCCACACCACTGGAATTCCAGCACTGTGCATCCTGCTGGTGTGACCAGCCCACAGCCACGTTCTGAATGAGCGGGATGGCTCTGCAGACATGCAGAATCCTTCTCCTTTGCTGCCACGTGCCCTCCCGGAGCTGCAGCTGACAAAGCTCTGAGGCTGCCGGTGGAAAACCCCACACATTTGCATCAAAACGGGCTGTGCCAGACAACACCCACACAGCTCCTGTGATCYCGCTGTAATTCTGTTGATATCTGCTCGGAAACACAAACCCTTCATCTTCAAAACCCTCACAGGCAGGGTGCCTGTCTCCCCTGCAAGATGCTCCAGCCTGGCAAAGTCCTTCAGGAAAAGGTTAACTCCTGCCTCAGCCAACAGCTTTGTAAGGAAAATCAGGGAACCATCCAGCTCCCCAGGCAGCCCTGGGAGGGACAAAGTGCCCCACGTGCTCTGGGGTGATGCAGCCTTGTTCCCTGCCAGGACACATTACCCACAGCAAACATCCCCAAGGCAGAGCACACACAAGGTCAGCCCCGTCCCGTGTAGCACGCACAGGGGAATTTTAGGAAAACACACTTCTAAGAGCTCTCCCCACCCCAGGCTGCTGCTGCTCAGTGCCCGGGTCCCTGCAGCCACCAGCCCAAGTGAGCATTTTACTGTTGCTCAGTGTTTTGAAATGCKTATGTATTATTTTTTAATTGTTTATTATTATTATTAATAAAAACATTATTATTTGCAAAGTCCTCATCCCTCCAGACAGCGACACAGCTCTCAGCTCATCTCACCCCAGTTATTCCCAGGTTTTTGATGATAAGCTGCCTGCTTTCTCTCGCTCCCTCTCTCTGTGGGACTGGGGCTGGGCCAAAGGGGCTCCTGCAAACACAAACCCATCATCCCTTCCCTTCCTGCCCTGTCAGACCCAGGCCTGCTGGGCTCTGTGAGCTGGAACCACACTCTTCCTGTGAGCACAGCACACTTCCACGTGCTTAATATAGGCCAAGCAGAAAAAAAATGAAAAAAACAAACCTAGAACTAATCCCAAAGTCTGTTGGGTCACTTTGAACACTTTTTTCCAACCATCAATCCCGGGCTGTGCAGCTGAGCGTTACTCATGTAGCTGCTAGAGAGAAAACACGCTGTCCCTGACACTCATGGGAGCATCCTGCTCCTGCTGGGAACACTGCACAGCTGGAACTGCACTGCCATGGGAGCATCCTGAAGGGAATACTGCACAGCTGGAACTGCACTGGAGCATCCTGATGGGAATACTGCACAGCTGGAACTGCACTGGGTGCATCCCACTCCTGATGGGAACACTGCACAGCTGGAACTGCACTGGAAGCATCCCACTCCCCACTGCACAGCTGGAACTGCACTGGGAACATCCCACTCCTCCACTGCACAGCTGGAACTGCACTGGGAGCATCCTGATGGGAACACTGCACAGCTGGAAATGCACTGGAAGCATCCCACTCCTCCACTGCACAGCTGGAACTGCACTGCCACGCTGCCCCTCGCAAAGCCAACCAGCCCAGTTTGCCAGAGGCCTCACCACAAATCCCAAATTAGCCCCATTCCAAAATGGCAAGGACAAAAGTAGAAAAAAAAAACCCTGCATAACACTTAAAAAAACCCAACAACTAAATCATGTGGAAAATATGCTGCCAGCAGCAGCAACGCTGGGTTATGCAATGGGTTTAACTCCTCCAGGCACCACTTTGTGCACGGGACAGCCCAAAGGATGGGACAGCAAACTGGGACAGGAAAGGGGCAGAGAAATTGAGGAATTAAATAGAGCAGAGCCACACTCCACTTGACAAAGGCCAAGAGCATCTCCAGCACCTCAATGAGCAGTTGGGAGCATGCAGAGGGGCTGATCCCTCCCTGGGCAGGGGAATGTGCAGACAAACTGTCCCCAGCTTGGGGAGCAGACACCCCATGGCTGCCTCAYCAAACTGCCCTCAGGGGGAGGAGGGCTTGGGGCTCGCCAGGCTCCAGCCACACTAAAACCACAGGACATGCAGCACCCACGGCAGGGCAGCCACGTGCTTTAGCTGTCATGGGGAACTGGTGATTTAAAGCATCCGAGTCCTGACTGGGGAAAAACACAAGAAAAGTCAATATATTGCAGCTGGGGATGCAAAGCCCCCAATGCCCCAGCAGCACCAAGGGAAAAGCCACAACTCAAACATGCAATTTTTTTTTCCAGCTTCCCAGCATGGAGCTGGTCTTTCCTTAGCAAAAACTCCAGTGTCACACTTGGCTGCAAGGGGTTTGTGCCAGCAGGAGGAGGGTGCAGCCAAACCACAGGAGCACTCCGTGGCACACAGGGGTGTTGGGCTGGGTGATGGAGCACTCCCAGGAGTCCCTTGTCRAAAATAGAAAGATCCTAGAAACAAACTGGAGCAGGGCAGTGGATGCCTGGGGTGCATCATGGGCACAGCCTGGATTTGTCTGRCCTGCTGTGCTCTCTGCAGGGACAGTGTCACACCCGTGGTGCTGTCAGAGTCGGTGTCACTGAGCTGGCCCTTCTGGAGTGCTGCAGGGGGGGTTGGGTCAATAAACACCCGGTTAAAGTCTGAAATCCCATCAAGTCCCCAAGAGCTGGACCACGGCTCCAGTGATTCACCATTGTCACCTTAACCCAGCTGCTGTCCCTCCCAGGAGGGGACATCGTATTCCTGATGGGACAGAGCTCAGAGCCTGAGCAGCTCTCTCCCACCCAACTGTTCCTGGATAAACACCAAGCACATGGGAACGTGTGCCTATGCCATATTTATTTCCTCTTCCAGGGGAGCCCTGCCCACGTGGGCACAGGAGATGTGGAGATGGTCAGGRCAGCGCTGCACCAAGCAGGGACAGAGCCAGAGCTCAGCTCGGGCACGGCCGACTCGGGACAGCTGCTCCAAAGTTGGTTTTGCCAAAGACTCGGGGCTGTTGCTCTGTAATTGATGCATGTCAGACACGAGCCAAAGGCAACATCTGCGAAGCAGCAGATGAAAGGAACCCCGYGGGGAGGAAAGCCCCTGGGAGCCCCCCGGGGACCCTGCTGCTCCTCCGGCCAGCTGGACGCCGTGTGCCGTGGGATGGACTTGGCCAGGGGCTGCTGGACACGCTGTGCTGGTGCCACGAGGCTGTCCCAGGGCAGGGGGCACGCAAGGACAGCCCAAAACCCCGAACCCATGGCTGGCCGTCCTCACTGAGGGGCTGGGATAGGGGGCTGCATGACACAGGTCATGCACAAGGTTATGGGAGCCTTGCAGAGGCTGATCTGGGAATGTCTCACCTACAYCAGGTCCTGGCTGGCCCCAACAGCTCCATGCTCTGCTGGTGATCCAGGAGAGCAGAGCTGATCCCAAAGCGGGGCTGCCCGCAGAGCTGGGGCTC